CTATAACACCGAATCATTCAAAATATTAACTAACATTCAACTAACACTTGTCAACTGCTTATTGTGTACCAGGTATTTTCAAATGCATTATTTAATTTTTGATGTTCGAGTCCCCAGAACCAGAGAAAAATGTCAGTGACATTTAAAAGTGGAGAAAAGTGAGATTCAGAGAAGTTGCTCTGCTTGCCTCAGGTTACACAGCAGATCCAAGGTAGTCAGACCTCAAATCCTTGGCTCCTTCCTGCCTTTTCTTCAGAATGTCACTGTGGGGGCCTCTATTCAGCCCTCTGGGAGCACTCATGATATAGACTCCAACACTTAACAGCAGCAAGCCAGCAATTCTTCTTTAGCAAAAAGCAGAGGGAGAATGTGTAAAAACAAGGATTTTAAAGAATCTGGATGAGTGGATACTTACCAGACAAAACTTATCTGTCTTCTTAAGTGAATTTCAATGGCTTGGGAAATTTGGGCTCTGATCTTGGGACTATATGCCTTTCTGTAAAGGGACTCAATTATCTCTCCCTTAAATATTTCAGAGCCTGGGGGAGGGGGATGGTCACTTTGTGAGGGGTAAAAAGTATAACTAGTGCACTGTTTTGTACACCTGAAACTAATTTTAATAAATACATACATACATACATACATACATACATACATACATATTTCAGAGCCAATTCATGTCTTTTCAGGGGAAAAAAGTTGATTATTGAGTGTTAGGGGTTAAAAAGAGAAATAAAATTATGAGGTAACAAGAGATCTTAGAAATGAAGGCCATTTACATCTCTTGGGAGGTATCAGTTATTTTTAAATGATGTGCTATTGTTGCCACACATAGTAAGTTAATCTTAAAAAGGCATTTATCCCTGCTGATGTTATCGTTTTTTTTTTTATATACGATCTAGCTTAGTGAAATGGATGTCATTTTAGGTGTGAATTTGGATAGGCTATGTTTACCAGGAATTTTAATTACTTGATTACTTTGAAATGACACCATTCTAAACCATCAAGTCTGTTTCGTGGCATTTCACTTGCTAGTGAGATGGTTTAGTTTGGGGGTTTAAAGCAGAGGTCTTCACATTTTGTAGCTGGTAGACTATTTTATTTCTTATCTAAAGAATGATATTGACAGTCTATTTATGACTTGTTCAAGTCAACTTAATGAGTCTCTATAGTGTTCTGTTCCCTTGAAGTTATTCAAATATAATGCTTGTTTGCAAACAACTACATACATTTATTAACACTATGATCTTTTCCTTATGAACAAAATAGCCCACAGAGCCTTGTAAATGGAAATATAAACCTCTCATTTAAACATCCATTGATTTTTCTCTTTCATGTGCTCCTGAAATAACTAATTTTTATCCTTCTTAATAATTAGCTGAGTTTAATCCAGAGAACCTTAAAGCAAAACGGGTTCCTCGTATTCAAGCTAGGGCTGGCTAAAAGTAAATCTTACCCAAGAACTTTAAACAAACCAACAATGATTGCTGAGTTATAATACCATTTCACCACAGTAAAAGTCTGGCTCTTAAAAATGTTTATTCTGAAATTAATAAAAGTCATTTCACAGATAAGAAAAACAGACAGAAAAGGTAAAGGGAGGTAACTGTAAAACTCAAATAACAAAACAGAGTAGTACACAGTGGAATATAAGTGGCCTTCTCAGTGGCTGGCACAGCTGCACAGAACTTTTGGAGCGCCAGGAGGAAAAGATCAGAGTGGGTGTCGTTTCGGGAAGGTTTGTACTTACTCTTAGATTGAAATTCCAAGGATACAGTTTGGCAACTAGGAGCTTGAAGGATGACAATAAGCGCAAAGAGGGCTGGGTGGACAAGGTAAAGACATTGGAATCCCTGAAGGTCTTCTAGAATGTCAATAACGATGAAATCGGCCTTGTATTGTTTCTGCTATTTTAACATTTTGAGAGAAGGTATTTCTCTCTGAAAAGCTATGGAAGGAATCTGTTCTCTTAGGTAGCCTGGCTTTTACCTGCTGCTGTTTGAACTGAGAGCGCTGAGCCTGATCCACAGCTGGACAC